TTTAATATTTCTAAAGATAATTGAACTTTTCACTACTTTTTTCTGTCTTTAAAATTATTGAATTTCGGTGAAGAATTTTAATATTTCTAAAGATATAATTGAAATTTCGACGAGAATTTTAAATACTTTTTTCTGTCTTTAAGCTACTTTTTGAAATTTAATTATCGAGTACGAATAAGTCTGCTATAGTTTTAAAATTTACATTAAAGAGTATTTTTTAACAATAATAATTGCAATTTGCAAAATTATTAAAAAGCATAGTTTTTGTTGCAAAGCAGCATAATGTGCTTCTGAGCATATATGCCGCTTAATTTAATAACTTTAAAATTAAAACCTAATTTTATAATTTGCTGAGCATAAATGCAGCATATGATAACTCGAGGTACAATTTTGTATTTATTGTCTTAAATATTTTATTTATAAAATATGATCAATTCTATAAGCATTAGCAAACAAATTACAAACAGCTTTTAAAAAAATCTCTGGACAAACAAAAGTAAAGTTTGACTTTTTAATTTTAATCTTTTTTAAAATTAACTATATACTCAATACAAATTTGAATTTCATTCTTCCAAAATTAAATTATTTTAGATTCCTATTTTCTTTTTAAAAAAAAGATATACTAAAAAGCACGGATATAGTTTGAAAAAGAAAGAAATTTTTCAAAAACTCTCCCTCTTTTTTATGGTATGTATAAGGACCATCGAGAACTATAATCTCGACAATTCACTTATTGATGTATTTCGCGTTAGTCCACTTCTTTTGCAAAAGTGATCGACGTAGGTCATACAGGACGTGAATAGATTGAGGGTGTTTAGTCAGGGTGAGAATTGAACAGCCCAACAATACAAAAATTATGGTCGACAATTCATTGACGTATCCCTTTTCATGGCACGAGTCTTTTAATAGCTATTCTATACATATATACATGCATATTCAGGGATACTTTTAACAAACCAATAGAACTTATATATTCTATATTTATTATTCAAATTTGTATAGATTAAGATCACAGCCACTTGCTTTGCGCTTACCTTTTTCAACAACAAAAAAAGAAAAAAGAAAAAAATTCCATTTAAAATGCTTTATTACTATTTTTAAAAAATACTGATGACTTTTTAAAGATAACTAAATTTTAATCTAACTTTTCAAAATATATATGTATACGTAGGTACAAATAAAAAAATATACATAATGTATATACGTAGATACAAATGAAAATATAAATATAAAACTAAAACTTTAATAAAAAAAATTAATTGTTAGGTTCTCAATGGTAATTTTTTCGATCACTTTTCTCTTAAAATATTTAATAAATTGAGCTGAAATTTTGTAAAAAAAAGTCTAAAATATAATAAAGAATGGCAGAGATGTGCAAAAGTTTTAATATTTTTAAAATTATTTATTACAAATTACTTTAAAATGATCAGTTGTCGCACGGTCACTTCTAATCAATTTTTCGTCTTTACCGATTTCAAAGTGTTTTATTATAATTTATTTTCGAATTATTAAAACTTTTGCACATCACTGCCCTTCTTTATTACATTTTAGACTTTCTTACAAAATTTCAGATCAATTTATTAAATATTAAAAGAGAAAAGTGGTTGAAAAAATTAACATTGAGAACCTAACAATCACATGCTGTTAAAGGCGTATAAAGGTCTAAAAAAATTATTCAAGTTCATACGGATAACAGGTCAAAAAAATCATAAACTTCAAAATCCAGGTCAAAGACAGAATACGCGAATGTTAACTAAAGGTCAAAAGTAAAAAATAGGTAAATATTTTTAAATACTGACCTAAAATTTAAGGTCAAAATCGCTTATGTTAAAAATTCATATCAACGCTTAAAAATACAACAAAAAATTATAATTTTTTACTTTTAGGTCTTTAAAGAAGAAGAGGGGGTGTGGCAAATATATAGGTATACAATGGTAAATGACGTGCGTAAAATCGAGTTTTTTCAGGTGGAGATTATAAAACAGCTGTCAAAAGTGGCAAAATATATGAAAATTTTCGAAAATTAACCTTTCAATTGAAACATTTCTGTGACACACGTATTTTTTAAGACGAAAAGTGGACAACGCAGTTTCTCTCTCTCTCTCTCTCACTCTTGTATTGACTGGCTCTGTGTCGATGTTTAAAGAGCCACACAACAACCGCACTAACTCACTTGGAAAGGGTTGGTTGGTTGGCATTGGTTAAGCTTCTGCTAATCCAAGGGCTTACACTGGTTCGAGTGTAAATATTGATTCCAATCTGTTAGTGACACAATGGAAGATATATAGACGTCTCTATTCTCGACTGTCAACCACCGTCAAAGACAGCATCCGCTGTCAAAACAGTCATTACAACCAAGCAATAAAGATTCTAATAATTGTATAGTCAGGCACCTTTTCTTAAATATTCCTATTGTATTTTCCTCCCAAAAAAAGGAGAGCGAGAGAGAGAGAGGGTGGGGGAAGGTCAAAAAAAGTGTGCCACAGCTACTAATTAAAGTTTTAAGAACTGACGAAAAAACATTTTTACATTTTTCCCGTTCTTCGAATTTGTATTTTTGTTTCCCCCAATCTTCCTCACTTTTTTCTTCGGAGAAGAATTGTTTGTATTATAAAAACTTGCCACTTTTTTTTTTGAAAAAAAGATGCTTTTAAGGTTTAAGATTTTTTTTCAAAATATCTTTTATGTTGGCTTTAAGAATTTCGGTTATTTGGGGAAGAAATTATTTTATAAACTGCGATTTTTATACGAGAAGAAAAAATTGATTTAAAAAGAATTAAAATATATTTAAATTATATTTTATTATAAATTATATTTTATATTTAAATTTCAATATAATATTAATAATATTTAATTAATTAATTAATTAAATATACATTAAGTAATTAATATATTAATAATAAATAATAAATGTATATTGTATAAATTACACGAATCTGAAAAATTTGTTTTTTTTCAAAAAAGTGGGGGTAAAGACCCAAAAAAACGTATTTTTGAAGGTTTTTAATATATTTTTTCTCTAAACTATCTAGATACTTACAGAAAGTCTTAAAGTAAAGCTTGAAACGTGTCCTTTAAGACCCATATGCGCAAGACTAAGAATTTTTTTCTAATTTTGAGAAAAGTGGGGTAAAAACCAAAAAAAAAAAAATTTCGGTATTTTTATTTCGATATGGGAGTCGTTTCCAAAGGATTTTCGTCCTCTGAATACGATCCAGGGTTCCAAATTTACCTAGCATGTCAGGACTTTGAGCAAAGTGGGGATAAAGAACCTAAAAACGTGTTTTGTTGGTTTTATATTTTTTCTTCTTTTACTTGTCGTACTAGAGACATCATAAGGTCTAAAATTAAAACTTAAATCGTGCTTTTTAAGGCCCATGTGCGCAATACTAAAAAATAGGGGATTTTGAAAAAAGTGGGGGTAAAGAAAAAAAAGATTTTTTATTTTTGATATGGGACTCGTTTCCAAAGTATTTTTGACCTCTGAACACAATTCCGGGTCCCAAAGTTGTCTACTACGTCAAGATTTTGAAAAAAATGGGGGTAAAAAAGCATGTTAAGGGTAAAAACGTGTTTTCGTGGGTAAATTCTGGGTAAATGATTAAAAAACTGAATTATAAATTGTTTAATAAATTCTGAAGTATAAATAAAAATATTTAACGAAATAAAACTTTTTAACACCTTATTAGGCAAAGTACTTAGAAATATTAACATTCACACCATAAATATAAAATGATAACACAGCGACACAATAGCATGCAAAAATATTTAATACTACAAACATTCATACGTAAAAAGAAAAAATGGATTATACACATAGTTCACTTATAAAATTAATTTTATACAAAATTTAACAGGTTGAATATAATTATATTTTAAAAATTAAATATATAAGTGAACTATTTTAATACAGGAGGACAAACAGCGCAGCATATTGTCAGGAATATTTTCCAAATATTGCCAAACAAATTTTGGATTATTGCACTGCCAAAAATTAAGGCAATGTTTCGGGGTAAATTTAGGACAACATTTCCAAGCAATGTTGTCACAAAATACAAGTAGGTATCGTTCCAAATTTTCTAAATTTGAAACCTAAAATACTACCTTAAATTTTAGTTCGTTGAATTTTAGCACATAAGTTTAAAATAATTAATAACTTAAATAATGAATTGCATTTAAAAATGAATTATTAGTAGAAGTATATTTTGAAAATGATGACATTTTGTTTAGTTTTACCGGACTAAACAAAAATTGGTTAAATTATGAAATTGCAAAAAACAATCAAAATAAAAAAAAAATAAATGCAATGGAATTCTATTGAATTAATTTCAAATTTAATTTATATACTTTAGAACGGAAATTTCTAAATATATATATTTATAAGGTAAACGTGATCTTCATCCAGTATAGAAATCTTCATCCCAACATAGTAGGACAACCCTAATGTCGATTCAATAATGAAGTATTTTTCAATTACAATAATTGAAAAAAGTTTAAAAAAATGAATCTCATATCAACATCAAAATCTTACAATTCCAGGGTGTCTAACAAGAATTAAGAAAAAAATTCTCTTACTTCTCCCTGACTTTTGACTATAATTTTATTTTTGCTTTCTTGGTGACAAAAGTATGGTAACTGACATATTTATCAATAAATTAATATCTAATGATAGAAACAAACGGTAATAAAAATCTTTTAAGTTTTGTGAAATTAAAAAATTTTTAATTAAGAAACAGTTTTAATTTTTATAAAAATTTATAGAAATTTCCCTGATTTTGAATGAAATTTTCTGACATTCCCTGACTTTTCCATGACTTCCCTGACCGTTAGACACCCTGAATTCAAAATAATCTTCAGAATCAATGCAAAAAATAAAACTTTAACAAAAAGTTCATTTCATACAAAATTCTAATGTCATAATCTGAACTATTTTTCTGAAAAACAGGAAAAAGAAATGCACAAAAAACAAATGCCGCCATGTTATACTGACTATTACTCACCGATCGCCTTATCATACATTTCAATACCTGAAACAGAAATTAACGATAAAATTAGTATATATATTTAATTAATAAATTATAATATAATTATAAAAAAATATTATATAAAATAATATAATAGAATATTATAAAAACGATATTAAATTATTAAACTAAATTCATTAATTTTTATTAAATAATATTTGTCGATTTTGTGACCCAAAGGCCATTTGATAAAAATTAATGTTCTTGAAAACATTTGAAGTTAATTTTTATTATTAATTATAAAATTTTTTATTGATGCAAATTTTTCAGACTATTTTGAATAATAATTATTATTATTATTAACTAATAGGTAATAATTAATTAATAATAATTAATAACAAATGTAATAATTATATTATAAACAATATAATTATTATATTATAAACAATATAATTATTATATCATATATAATATAATTAATAATAGTATATAATATCTTATTATTTTAGTACCTAGGTCTGCAAAACATGAATTAATAAATTTGGAAAAATAATTTTCATTTCAAATTTTGACGAACAAAATATATATATATATATATATATATATATATATATATATATATATATATATATATATATATATATATATATTCATTGTTTATTATGTCTGGGTGAATTGGAATCAACTTCAAATTGAACTGTTTCTATATTTTTGAATAATAGGTTAGTAAAAGAAAAAATTATTTCAAGATGAATGTACAAATTTCCCACATTTGACATAATGATGATTTTTTCATTATTATTTATCACTTTCAGCAGAAAATTTACAGAAATTTACCATACTATTTTTAACAAAATTAAATCAATTTAACCAATTTTGAAATAAATGTTTGACAGTATAAGAGGAAATTTTCTTTTTCTTTTTTCCTTTTTGGTAACAAAAAATTGAATTAATGGAAAAATGGAATTAACACGAGAACCATGTCCATGGAGAGTCGTTGACGATTGTGGTGGAGCTTTTGCAATGGGTACAATTGCCGGAACCTTAATACAAGTAAAAACATTTCGTTTGTGTAAATGACAAAAAAAATAAATAAATTTTTGTTTTTAATTTTTTTTGCATTAACGTATGGTTTCTACAATCTTTTTTTGTAAATTTTTTTCTAATGTTTAAACATAATCAAAATTATAAATAAGAATTTGTGAAAATAAAAATATTAATTAAATTTATTATTATTATTTTATTATTTATAAACATTGTAAATAAATATTTACTATATTTTACTATTATTTATTTTATGTATTATACAAATGTAAAAAATAAATTTGTACTATAATTTTGAATTATAATTATTATGTTATTGTTATTATTTATTATTATTATTAATTTGATATAATATTATTATTATGATTTCCTACTTTACTCAATAATTATTATGTTATTGTTATTATTTATTATTATTATTAATTTGATATAATATTATTATTTTTTTGATTTCCTACCTCAATGTTTTTAAATTAAGTAAGACGACAAAGTGATAAAATCAAATATTTATATATTTATTATTATTGTTATTATTTTTTCTATCCTTAATTATTAAAGCATGAATAAAATAATAATTCATTAAAAAAAATAAGTAGTGCAAATAAGGTTAAAATTATGAAATAACTTTTTTTAAAAATTATTTTCAAAGCAAATAAACGAGCGTTAAATGTTTAGAATTACGAATTCATTGGATCCTTTTTGCAGAGTGTAATCGGTTTTCGGAACTCTCCTTCTGGAATGAAGAGAAGATTCGAGGGGGGACTCACAGCTGTTAAGAATAAGGTGCCTCAAGTTGCTGGTAATTTTGCCGTTTGGGGTGGTTTATTTTCTGCCATTGAATGCTCTCTTATTTATTTTCGATCCAAGGAAGATCCATGGAATTCAATTGCAAGTGGCGCCCTCACTGGCGGCATTTTAGCAGCACGAACAGGCATAAAGTTTACGAATTTAATAATATTAATAAAAATAATAATTATCAATAAACTTCTTTTCTTGGGAACTTTTGAACCCCAATTCAATATTTTAACTCTAAATATATTTAAAAAAAATAATTTAAACCATATAAAATATTTTAAATAGTTAACAAATTTTTTTTACGTATAAAAAATGTTACTAATTGAATTTTTGAATTTAAAAAAACGCCTGTCATTAAATTCGTTATCAATAACTCTAAAATCACCGAAAATGACAATTTTATAATTTTAAAAAACAATTTTAATCAATTTTAATCAATTTAAATGTGATTAAAATGGAGAATAAATAATTTCGTGTCCGGGTTTGTAGGGATTTGTTTTTACGAATCTAGTACTTAATTTATAAAAATTAAAACTTGCAAATCAATATTATTATGTTGAAAAGGATAATTTTAATTTCAATCACTGCGGATGAAAAATTTGATGCAATTTTTTTTCCAGGAGTTCCATCAATGTTGGGCAGTGCAACTGTGGGTGGAATACTTTTAGCAGTAATAGAAGGCTGTGGTCTTGTAATGACACGAATTCAAGGTGAAGGTTATTCCCTACACAACACAATGCTCGGTGAGAGTGTGCAAAATTTAGCAAACACAAATGGGCAAAATGGAAGAATAGTCTTTTTGGGTTCGGCAGCATCGGGCGAAGGTTCATCTTCCGGAAAACAGACAACTGCAACGGAAGAGGTTAAAAGAATAGGCAAAACTTGGTGAAACGTTATCATTTATACATTAACTTTGAGAAGAAAAAAAAATTTGTAAAGTCAATAATTATAGTAATAATAAATACGACGATTATTATAAGAAATTTAAAAATCGAATAGAAATTAAATAAAATTTCTTTTTTAAAAAGTAAATAATTTTTTTTTGATTTACGATTCTTTAAGATTCTTTAAATTTCTTTAAATTTCTTTAAATAAATTTACACAAGATTTGCAACAAAATCTCTTTTAAAATTTGCGAAAAAAGAAAAATATTTACATACATTTAAATATTTGGAACGTGACATGTGTAGTATTATCGTCCCGTTCACGAAACAGTCTCGACAGTGAATATGTATATACATAGTAGATGGGAGCGTTTACGAAATGCAAATTAGGTTTTGGTCTTCTATATTTCCTTCTTTTTCAATCCTAACAATTCAATTTTTTAGGCAATTTTAAAAACAGAATCTGACAAAAAAGAAAATTATCCTCTACTGTTATAAAGCAGACTGTACTCTTTTTCTATTTTTTTTTTTTTTTTTTTGCACGAATCGAAGTCAGATTCATATAGTTTATTAAGTCAGGATTTTTTTGACCTCAAACAAATTGTTACCGACTTTATGCTTTTTTTCCTTTTTCTTTCTTTTTCATTTACAATTTTTTTAAGATTCATACGGATTTATATAGAATTCGGTAATTAAAGATTTCTTGGAATTGATTTTCAAAATTTAAAATGGCGGATCCAATATGGCGGACTGTATTTTAAAAATCCACTATATTTATCAGAAATTTGTATAAATAAGGGATTTTTTAAATTCATTTTTAATAATTTTTGAAATAATTTTTCAAATTCTTTTGTATTTACAATTCAATTTTACGAAATTTCATCGATTATTTGAAAATTCTTCAATCAAATATATATTAGAAAATATAAACTTCAAATAACTTAAAAAAAATTCAATTCAACTTCTCCAAAAAAATTAAATCTACACAATTTTAAGTTAAAAGTATGAAAAATTCAAACATTCAAAGATTATAATTTGAAACATTTTCAAAACTCAATTATAATCTAAAGTTTTAACTGAAATTTATATTTGAATCAATTATTTATTAGAAAATTTTAATTATTTAAATACAAAAAAAAATAATTTATTGAAGAATTGAATGTTTTTTAAAATTGAACTCTCATTTAAATAATTTTATCAATAAATTTTTAAATAGGTAATTAAAATTTTTTTGAAGAATCTCAATAAAATTTTTAAGAATAATTTCATTTTTCGAAAAATTACAATTAAAATTGTATTAAAAATAATTGAATCTCTGTAAAAAATTTGATTGACTTGAAAAAAGTTTTTGAAAATAATTGAAATTTTGCCAAGAATTTTATTAAAATTTTTGAAAATAATTGAAATTTTGTCAAGATTATTATTAAAATTTTTGAAAATAATTGAATTTCAAAGAAAAATTTTAATATTTATAAAAATAATGGAAATTTTGACAATAAATATTTGAAACTTTTGATCATAATTGAATTTCTGCGAAGAATTTTATTACTTTTGAAAATAAATAATTGAATTCTTGAGACGAATTTTTTAATAATATTTCTTTTTAAATACCTAATTATTTTTAATAAAAAAATAAATAATTTATTAAATAATTGCATGTTTCTCAAAATTGAATTCTCATAAAGAATTTTATGAACAAAATTTTTAAATAATTAAATTCTTTTGACGAATTTCAATAAAATTTTAAGAATAATTACATTTTTTGAGAAATTCGATTTAAATTGTATAAAAAATAATTGAAATTCAGCAATGAGTTTTATTATTTATGAAAATAATAATTGAATTCCTGTAAAAAATTGTATTACATATTTATAAAAATAATTGAATCTTTGTAAAAATAAATTAAATATTTTTGAAAATAATGGAATTATTGCAAAGAAATTAATAAAAAAATTTGTAAATAATTGAATTGCTGTGAAATATTTGTTATTTATAAAAATGATAAAAGGTTTGCTAAGAATTTTATCAAAAAATTTTTTAAATAGAGTCATTCCATTATATTTCGACTAAAGTCGTTGCCGACTAATTTTAAAAAATTGTAATATTTTGCAGGAATGATTTTAAAGATATTAGGATCACCGAACAAAAAGAATTTTTTAAATATTTTTTATATTTATTGTAAAATAAGCATCTAAAGTATATGAAGTCGTAAAAACTGACACTTTTTCATCTAATAGAAAATATTAAAGAAAACACATAATTTACTATAAAAACGTAAAAAAATTATTAGAATTTATTAAGAATGAATTATTTTATTATTATAAATTGATAGAAACAATTATTAATAAGAAATATTAAATAAAAAATAATTTTAAAGTTTACATGGAAAATAACCTATTTTTGCAAATTTCATTCACTAAATATGAGAAAGAGAAATCATTAAATTGGATAAAACCTTATGAAATATAAAGTACCTGTGATTAACTTTTAGTTTTTCTTATCACTTTCTTCCTGTTTTCTTCACAAATATTAAAAAATAAGCAATTAAAACTGGCACTTTGCTTATTTTCACGATTTTAAAATGCAAATAACTTCTGCCCAGAAAAATGAAAAATTACGAAAATTGGGCAATAATTATTTGATCACTAGATACACTTACTGGAAAAAGATTTTCTTTGGTCCCGAAGCTATTTCTCGAATTAATTAACTTTAAACTTTTTACTATTTTTATCAGGTTAATACATGTGATTTCTTTAAAACTGAAGTTGGTTCAAAACGATTAAACAAGAAGAGCTAACTTCGTCCTTTAAAAAACACATGTATTAACCTGATAAAAATAGTAAAAAGTTTAAAGTTAATTAATTCGAGAAATAGCTTCGGGACCAAAGAAAATCTTTTTCCAGTAAGTGTATCTAGTGATCAAATAATTATTGCCCAATTTTCGTAATTTTTCATTTTTCTGGGCAGAAGTTATTTGCATTTTAAAATCGTGAAAATAAGCAAAGTGCCAGTTTTAATTGCTTATTTTTTAATATTTGTGAAGAAAACAGGAAGAAAGTGATAAGAAAAACTAAAAGTTAATCACAGGTACTTTATATTTCATAAGGTTTTATCCAATTTAATGATTTCTCTTTCTCATATTTAGTGAATGAAATTTGCAAAAATAGGTTATTTTCCATGTAAACTTTAAAATTATTTTTTATTTAATATTTCTTATTAATAATTGTTTCTATCAATTTATAATAATAAAATAATTCATTCTTAATAAATTCTAATAATTTTTTTACGTTTTTATAGTAAATTATGTGTTTTCTTTAATATTTTCTATTAGATGAAAAAGTGTCAGTTTTTACGACTTCATATACTTTAGATGCTTATTTTACAATAAATATAAAAAATATTTAAAAAATTCTTTTTGTTCGGTGATCCTAATATCTTTAAAATCATTCCTGCAAAATATTACAATTTTTTAAAATTAGTCGGCAACGACTTTAGTCGAAATATAATGGAATGACTCAATAATTCATTTCTTGTGGAAAATTTTATTAAAATAGTAGATATTGAAAATCATTGAATGGAGGAGAATAAATTTTATTAAAATTATTTTGAAAAAAAAATTGAAGTGTTAAAAAAAATTTTATTAATATTTTTGAAAATAATTTAATTCTTTCAAGAAATTTAATAAAAAATGAATTGACAATAATAATTAAATTCTAATAAATAAATTATAGGAAGGCGTTTTTAAATAATTGAATTTCTTTGATGAATTTTAATAAAATTTTTAAGAATAATGAGATTTTTCGAGAAATTCGATTAAAATTGTATTAAAAATAATTGAAATTCTGCGATGAGTTTTATTATTTATGAAATATAATTGTAAATCTATAAATTTTTTTATTATTTATGATAATAATTAAAAAATTGCGAAAAAAAATTGTAAAGGCAACTCTTTTAAAATTGAATTAAGAAAATTGAATTAAAGAAAAATTAGATTTCAAGAATAAGCACAATAACTTTAGAAAACAATAACTTTCCAGGATTCCAATCAAAATTCCCTGACTTTTTCAGGTTTTTCAAGGTTTATAAAATTCCCTGACATTTCCAGGTTTTCAGGTTGCGTGGCAACCCTGTATTTATAAAATTCAAAATGGCGGATGCAATATGGCGGAAAGTTATTTAAAAATTCATTCAAAATGATTTAAATTTGTTACTTTGGGGTTTTTGGGGTCGTCGATTACGAATCTAGAGTCCAATTTTCGAAATTCAAAATGGAGGATGTAATATGGTGTAAAAAATATAATTATAAAATATAATTATAAAACACAATTTAAAAAAATAGAATAAAAAAAAAAATTTTTTGAAAAAAGTGTAAATTTTCCAAATACAAAGAAAATATTTACTCAACATTGCGCGTATATTCTATTTTGATATAAATAGAAAATATTATTTTGAAAAAAATTTATGTTTATTGAGAATTGAATTACAAATCATATAGATATGATTGTATTGTGTTGGTTTATATATTATATTACATTTCCTGAATGTTATCATTGCATTCTCTTGGAACATAATAAATATATACATATATAGAACCCCTTTGAGTGTCCATTATAGTCGATATCGAGACATAGGGATGCCTTTTGTCATCGGCATCAAATGAGTATTATTGCGGATAGCCTGCAAGCCACGCGGCAGCTGGTCGATAATATCAATGTCCTATTCGAGAGAGATACATCCTGTGAGATTACACTCAGTTGTCAATTTACATCCACTCAACTTGAAATTATTTTAATTGACCGTTTTTCAATTTTTTAAATTGTAAAAAAGTTAAATTTTTTTGTTTTTCTTTTCCAAAATAAATTTCTCTTGCTTGTGGTCATAATCGAAAATAATTATTTCTTACTCTCTAAATTTAAATTTGTAAAAGAATAAAAACTAATTTTATTTTTTACTTTGAAATTACTAAATGTTAGTAATAAATTAAAAATTACTATTTGTCAGTGAAATTTACTAATTCAAAA